CTCCCCTTTTTCTGAAGTAGTGTTGGAGAAGAATCGGTGTGCCTTGAGAGACTCATTGATCATCTTATAAATAACCATGAAGATTCTAAAAGGACGGCTCTTAATGAAAATGTCAGGTACCGAGTAAAAACGTATCGGCGAGAGCGGAATTATTCGATGCCAATGCGTCGTCGCAGTTTCTGCCGAGGGACGGGCCGTTTCTTATCGCCGATTTTTCCCCATCTACGTTGATTTGCGCCCTGTCAACGTTATACTTCTCATCGCGGACACTTCTCTTCGATTGCACATCGCGACGGAAACTACTTCTCTGCGTTTCGCGAGTCTCTCGCGCATTCTCGCCAGGCGAGTCGACCGAATAGCCTGCATGCGGGTAATTCAGATTCCACAACGTATATTGTACTTAACGATCTTCTATCGATCTCTCATTATCGATCGTGGGACACGGTTTTCTCCTACGCGAAGTGGAATGTGACGGTCCGCGAAAGCATTGCGAATGTCATTTCGGGCGCGATGTTTGATTCTTTCGCCACGACTTTGGCGCGAAGATTACGGCAATTTCGTCTTTCATGCTTTTACAAGTGTCTAAGTTGAGTTTGGTCGCGGTGGCGTTCCAGGAATTGCCGTAACGAAAAGAATCGGCGTTGGAAAAACGTCGAGATTGCTCGTGAAGATTGTACAAATACGCAGTACGCCGCAAGTAGCGCACTTTCTCTTATTATATCAAAAAATAACGCTATCTCGAGGCTCGAGAAAATGATCGCGCAAATTACTCCTGTGGAAAGAATTATTATAAATTCCATAAAATTCTTGATAGCTTGTATTTTTAATGCAATGTGAGCGCTGTAATTGAAACGCGTACGCTAGCGATACTCAATTATGCTAACACACCTCAGCGTATATTCATGAGTGTCGCAAGTAGATGTACTCGTCTGTTCGCCTTTTAAGGATCCCTTGTCACGACAGATCGTGGTAACCTGCAGAAATTAACGCGTCCCGGGGAATAAACGTCGGAAGACAGATTTATGTTGGCCTTCGATACTTTTATAGGGGCTATGCTACTGCAGGTAAACGGGCTGGCAAACACGCGAGTGCACGACTCGTGCATTTTATTCACTTCACTATAATTATATGCATAAAGGCTGTTTGCAAAAATTGGCGAGGCGGGCATAATGATAACGTTGCCACATCTCAAAGCTCATATACTCTCTCCGTGCATGATTTATTCATTTGCATTTTAGATATTATTCTCAAATTTCTTCATATACTCTATATAGTGTAATAATGTTAAAACATGCAATAACGGTAATAAATAATGAAATACTGATGTAACGGGAGATATCTTTCGAGAGCTCGTCAGATTAATTTCGTGGGGCGTAAAAGATAAAATTTCTTCTCCATTCCGGCATTTCATTTCCACGTTTACGCCATGTCAAACTCGATGTTGATAGTGCACGCGCGCGCAACGCAAGTGCGACCGTAAAAAATATTGGAAGAAAACTTGGACTCTCTACTACGGCCTACCGGTCTCTCGTCGTTGCACTTTAACGGCGCAGCCACGCAGAAATAAGTGCAGCGGTGCGCTGCAGCGTTGTACGTGAATCGATCTAGAGCTCACTGCACACGAATCTTGCACTCCTGTTGCAACCGATATACAGCGCGTTATATTCAACGTATATCTAAATCAGCGGTAATTCGATAAAAAACTGGAATAACCATTTTCTCACAAATTTTTTCGAATCTAATTATTTTCTGCTTAAAGTGGCGTGACGATGTTGAGACAAATCGAAATTACAATCCTGTAGATTATAATAGATATCAGTTTTAATTAGGAGGTTCCATTATATATTGTATAAAACATCGAGCAATTTTACACAGGTTTAAAAGCACTGTTATCTGAACATGTAATTAACTTCTGCATTCTTGGCAATATGCTATTATCGATTTTATCAATTTGTATACACTTCACCGTGATTTGCATTTAGATTTTATGACGACATATTTATTTCACCAATTTGCTTATTTTATCTACCGAGGAAATTGTTAAAAGTTTTACCGACCGAAAATAATATTTATTTTCAACAATAATGTAAGGTCGCACAGGTTAATTCATACAAGACAACGATATTTTTTTCGACGTGTCATAAAATCTCAAATGGCGATATGGATTTCGTAAAGGCATAATAGCGACAGTAGTTTCCCTTTCGTTCGTGCATTCTACGCTGCATAAACACCATGTATGCGTGGGCGCACGTGTCGGAACGCTGCGCACGGTCTACTCGCTTAGGTATCAATAATTCGGCAAACGTTTCATTCGGCAATGGTTTTTTTCTGTTATTCGTGAGCAATCCGCACATTTCGCAGTTTCGCACTCGTAAAGTTTACGCAAAAAATTTAAAAATAATTGAGGCAGAAAGTCAATACAAAACATTTATTTAACAGCGGCAATCGATTTACTGTGAAATAAATCAAATAGCAGGCAAAAAGTGTGATACAAACTTTGATCATTTTTGCGTTACGCGAGGACTTTTTGCAATACCAAGCTGTAAATAGAGCTAATGCAAAATACAAATACGAATGCGGTAAATTATGATTGAGTTTATGGTAGGATTGTGCAAGCAACGCAGCCGATCGCAATTTTATGGTTGACAAAGATCGATGCTTTTACATAGAAGCTTGCGTAATCGCGAGGAGACAGGAGATGATCATGAACGATGTCAGGAATGACTCACCTTGCTTCTTTTAAGCATTCATACATTTTAAACGCTTTAATTTCACTCTCGACTATGTACGCGCCGTCTTTGAGTTCCATATTTATGTTAAATTGTGCAATTGCACGATGATGCACCGCATACGCGTATGTCTGACCAAGATTCTCCGTTCAACATATAATATGTTTTACTGCAAGTTGCCTTTTGCAAGGTTCTAACCTTTAAGGATACTAAAACAACTTTTTTATCTCGCCGCTTTGCACCGCATTTCGAAAAGTACGAAGAGCTAGCTATCTATCATTCTTTTTTCTACAGAATGTATAAGTCACTATTTGATACTTCGTTTATAATGATACAAGTCTAAAATAACTTAAAAACACCTTATATATTCGCAGTTTTTCTCGAATAGTTTTAAAAGCAAAAACTAGCACCGATTTTCAATTGTATGAAAATCTTTATTTTTTTAAAGATTGATATATAAAACCACTGAACAGTTCCATAATACAATTTTACAATGCAGTGCAAATAATATATTTTATGTTATATAATAGAGCGCTATAATAGTTTTATCTTTATGGTAAAAAGATGCATAAATATTAAGATTATTAACATTTGTCGTATTGTGCTTTAGCTTTGGTAGGAAATACATTCGTATCCGTCGCGAAGTTAATCTAACGGAAAGTGAAATCGCGATGGAGCTACGAAGGTTCGCCTTTATC